GTACCATGGTGACGCTGCGCAGTCCCACGCTTGTGTTTAATTTAATCTCAGATCCCACCGAATGGGGTAAAAGAAGGAACTTAAAAGGGTTACAAAGGGGATTTGTGTGTCAACCTCTGCAGCTGCAGCAAAGGAAAATGAACATCTTGTCTGATATGTGTCCCTTGCAGGCGGGTGATGAGCTGTAGCCCCGTAGTTGTGCTCTGTGGAATTTCTTCCTGTGTGTCTTGCCAACTTCATTTGCATTAAAAACTCTGCTGCATCATAACATGGGTCTTGTGGTTCTTCTTGTGCCTCCCTCCTTCTTGAAAAATGCTCTAGACAACGGTCTTCCGCATCATGCCAGCTGCACCAGACACTTCTCAAGTTGCGCATTTTGAAGCCCTGCATTGGCAGGACAGTGCAGCCTATGGAGAAGCGGAGAGCTGTCTTCAGGCCTGGAGTTCCTCCTAGCATTAGCTGCTTTAACAAAGAGTCTTTGCTTTGCTCTGAAGTATCTGCAACGATCAGTGGCTCAGAAAAGTGTCCAATATGAGGCGAGTATCCTGGAATGGTCGGACACCTCCCCTCCACTATAAGTGACCACAAGAAAACCACAGGTCGAACCCCCCCGGAATCCAAGGAACAGCCTTCTTGGGGATACAAGGGTCTGCCCTACAGGAGATCCTTGAAGGTCAAGGAGGCCTCTGGGTCAAGGGAGTGGGAGCGAGGACTCAGATCCTTTCACTAGCCCATTTCACCAGAGTAGGGTATAAGCCAGGCAAGTTCCCGGCACTAACAGAACCATCCCCCACTCACACAGACGTTACAGGCCCAAGCAGGGATCCGCTAGTGTCGATGCGTTCCCAGCTATGTGCTGCTAGATATTACTTTAATGGACGAGAAATTCCAAGTATTGACGATGGAATTTTTATACTTCTTAGAGTCAGGAGAGTCTATTTTAGCTTAGAGTCGTGTTGCAGTTGGTCACGTGTACTTTGTGGCACACACTGGCAGACGGGTGTGAAGCAAGGCGCCTTTCTGCTGTGGAGGTAAAACTGAAACACACAGTGGGCAAGACAGGGAACAGAAGGTAGATGGGCCAATGGAATAAAAATGTGATGATTAGCTCTCATTGCAACTGAGAGAGAGAGAGAGAGACAGACAGACAGACTCAGACACGGACAGAAAGACAGACAATGTAAGGCCTGGTCTACACTAGGAGTTTGGGTTGAATTTCGCCACATTAGGTCAAATTTCTAGACAATGAGTCCACACCACCAAGTTCGTTCCATTGACTTTAATGATGTTAAAGTTAATTTCGATACTCCAGCTTTTCACGGGGAGTAATTTGAGCTTGCCTGGTCAAATTTACAGTAGTGGAGACACCGAGTTGTGAAAGTTGTTGTGCTTGGCATTCAGGAGATGTCCCACAATGCCCTGCGGTGACCGCTCTGGCCAGGCCTTGCAACTCTACTCTTCTCCAGGTGAACAGGAAAAGCCCTAGGAAAATTGGCATTCCATTTCCTGTGTCGCCAGCATGGTGAGCGGACCTCAGAGCCGGCAGCACGCCTGAGCTGCACACATGGCCGTGAGTTCCCAGAGACACAGGGAAGCCACAGGATGGAGCAGGCAGGAGTTCCTGGACCTCCTTGCTGTGTGGGGAGAGGAATTGTCCTCCCAGAACTCTGAACCAGGAAGTTCAGATATCTATGCCCAGGGTTCGCCAGGGATGCTCAGCCGTGCAGAGTGAAAATAAAGGAGCGGAGACTGTTGTATCAGAAGACAAAGAATTCAAACGGATGGTCTGGATCACCGCCGCAAACATGCCACTTCTATGAGCGGCTGCATGGGGTGCTAGGAAGGGATCCGACCAGCTTCCCTAGCTAGTCCATGAATTCCTCCCAAGACACTCCTTTGGCAGCCTCGGGCAGTAGTGTGGAGGACACCGTAGATGAAGGAGAGGAGAAGGCAGAGACTGGTCAGCAGGAGAGTGGGGCAACCCATGTCTCCGACATCCAGGAACTTTTTATAACTTTGGTGACAATCCCCTCCTCCCAGAACATCTTGAAGCGGGACCGTCAACGGAGCCATGTAGATGAGTTTACTAGACATAGCAAAACAAAGTGGCGATTTAAATAATCGCCGCTTCATTTACATCAAAATGGCCGCCGCGCAGTGCCTATCACCTGATTGTCGGCACAATGCGGTAGTCTAGACGGGGATCTGACAACAAAGGGTGCTGGGGTTGGCCGATCCCCGTCTAGACAACCACATTTTGCCGCTAATCAGCTGATCGGCACATTGATGTAAATGAAGTGTCGATGATTTAAATTGCCGCTTCATTTCGCTATGTCTATTAAACTCATCTACATGGCTCTGTCGACGGATGGCTCTGTCCCTCAGTGTGGGGACCCCAGAACAGTGTGTTAAGGTGTCCTCCACGCAGGACGCCATCCCATGCCAAGCCGGCAGTATGTGGTCACTGCAGCACAAAGCAGTGCAGCATAAGGGCCAGAATTCTGGCCACCGTCAGTCAGCATCTGCTTCCCATCACGCGGTGTGACTCGAAGACCGACATCTCGCATGAATTGCCGCTTCATTTCGCTATGTCTATTAAACTCATCTACATGGCTCTGTCGACGGATGGCTCTGTCCCTCAGTGTGGGGACCCCAGAACAGTGTGTTAAGGTGTCCTCCACGCAGGACGCCATCCCATGCCAAGCCGGCAGTATGTGGTCACTGCAGCACAAAGCAGTGCAGC